ACAGACCTAGAGGGTCACACAAACTTGGCCTACGTAAGAAGGGCAAGTTCCAGAAGGACATGTGCAGTGGTCAGTGGTTCCCCATGGGGGGGGGCAATTTTGCCTCTCCACCCCCCACGGGCACATTGCACAATGTCTGGGGACATTTTTGGTTGTCACCACTTGGGGGGGGGCGCTATTCGTATTTAGCGGGCAGAAGCCAGGGAAGCAATTCAACATCCTCCCATTTACAGGACAGCCATCCTCACTCAAAGAACGATCTGGCCCCAAATGCCAGGAGAGCCAAAGCTGAGAGACCCTGCAGCAGATAATGCCATTTCTAGAAGGCTCAAGGGTACATTAAATAAACTATGGGCTGTTTAGGGATCTATACATTTTTAGCAAAAGCATAAGGAAATAAACGCATTCCACCAGATTGGTTTTCCATGAGAACAAGATTTTGGGGGAGAGGGGTCTCCACAGTGTTAGATGCTCCATGATTATGTTACATGCATGAAATAATGAGCAATGAACACTAATTTTAGGACAGTGATATTTCAGGGTGGGATGGGGATTTTTTTTTTTACTAAGTCCTGAATATTTCATAATAAAAAAGTCCCCTGTGGGGACCCAAAGAAACAGTGTGTCCTGCCTGCCTTTAAGGACAAACTCATCTCAGATCTGGGCTCTCACACTCACTAGCTTTATGACATGGGCACGCTGCTTGTTTGGGGTCTAAATTTCCTGATCTGCAAGCTGAGGTCCTACCTCCTGTATTTACCACTCAGGGCCACAGCAGAGCCCCAAGGAGATGCCAGCTGGAAAAACACTTGGAAAGGTCTGGGAAGGAGGTCTCTCTAGCACACACAATCCCCCTCCCCCACCAGCTCTAGCTCTTTGGAGAGAGCACTGAATCTTCAGTGGAGTCCTAGCAGGTGCATGGACACCACACGCATGTGAATGGGCTCAAAAAACTGCTAAGGAGGAATTTTTCTAAATTTTGGACAGAAGGCAGCCAGCAGTGGGGGAGGGGGTTAGAGGCAAGCAAGGCTGAGCATTTATTTATCTATCTATCTATCTATCATCTATCTATCTATCTATCTATCTAAATGTTTATTTATTTTTTGAGAGAGACAGAGCGTGAGTGAGTTAGGGGCAGAGAGAGAGGGAGACACAGATCCGAAGCAGGGTCCAGGCTCGGAGCTGTCAGCACAGCTCGAACCCACAAACCACGAGATCATGACCCAAGCTGAAGTCGGATGCTTAACCAACTGAGCCACCCGGGCGCCCCAAGGCTGAGCATTTATATGTGCATGTGAGGATGTGCGTGTGTGTATGTGTGACTATCCGGGACTACGTGTGTGTGCGCCTGGGTCTAGGCATGTGTGCGAGGGTGCATGGGAGCTTGTGTGCGGTCTACGTGCACGTAGGTGTCTGCATGATCATCTGATGACGGTGTGTGCTGTGTGTGTGTGTGTGAGTGGATGTGCACGCATCTTTGGTGTGTGATTGTGTATGCATATGTTGTGCGTGGTTCTGTACGTGGGAATGGAAATGGATGGATGAGTGCATACACATTTGTGTTTGTGTACAAGTCCTCATCAGACACATGTGTGTGCATGTGAATGTGGACCAGTGTATACGTATTTGTGATTGTGTGCATATAAATGTCTATATTCTTCTACAGATAGGTGTCTCAGTCTTCCTCCCTCTCTCTCTTTCTTCCACCTCTCTCCATCTCCCTTTTGCTCAGGTGTCCAGGCCTAGGAATGGCGGGGCCTCCCTGCTTCCCCGGCTTTGGGTACTCCCAGCAGGTGGGAGGCAGCTCTGGACAGATTCCTAGCAGGTGAAATATCCCTCTCCAGCCCCTACTGAGCCCCAGCCAGAAAGGAATTCCCTGCAGGCTCTTCCCTAATCCCCCACTGGGTCCCTCCCCCACTCACCTCTCCACATCTCCCAGGACAAAGGACCCTTTTGGTTCTGTATTCACGGGTGGTCACATTCCTCACAGCTTGACTCAGAATGGGGTGGGGGGAGGCAGCTCCGTTTCTGGGGGGGGGGAGAGTTGGGCAATCTCTATTAGTCTTGGAAGACACTGCAGAAAAATCAGCAGGCAAACCTATATTGCCATTGTGGTTACGTTTTATCAACCTCCTCCTTTGGCCAACTCAGGATATGTTTACTGAGAACCTACTCTGTGCCAGCTTCTCCACTAGGGACTGAAAACCTGAGATGAACGAAAGGCATTTCTCCATCTCGGGGAGTCCATGATGGCATTGGAAGAGAGAGGGAACCACCGAGAAACAGGTCACTAGAATCCTAGATTGGACATGTTACCAGGAGGCAGGTGGAGGATTAAACACCTTGCCACAGCTCCAACTTACGTGACTGATTACAGTCAACGTTTCTTAGCATGTCATTCGAGGCCCCTTATGACGGAGGGAGGCACGACTGGGGAGGCTTTCTGGAGGTGCAGGTGTGTGAGAGAGAATCGGACCGTGACGAACAGGTATTTGGGTAAGTGGAGAGGGAAGGAGGGGCCTTCTGGAAGACAGATCGCGGCTTAAGAAAAGAGTGTGGCTGCTGGACCTTGCAGTCTGGCTGGTCCACGAGAGATGGGGTTGGCCTGGTGATAGATCCCATGTATTGATATCCGTGCCCGGGTGGGGGATGTTCCAGGTGACAACGTGACTTCACCCCTGTTACTTCACCTTTTCCTGGACCCAGTGAGGCGTGTGCCCATCTGGAGAATGAAGAGAGGGAAGATACGGGAAAAAGTGGTAACTCAACTGGGATGAGCCCAGCCTTGGCGCCCCTGTATGGGGAAACACTTGGTGAATACCTCGAGACCCCAAGGCTGGAAGGTGTCTCTGGGGATGGCAGGTTCCTGCTTTGTTTATAAGTGCTTATGTTTTGACTTTATCATCAAATAAATGTTACCACTAGGGACACACTTACGTTCCTGGCTCCCCCATTTATCTGGTCACCCATCCATCCACCCCACTATCCATCTTCCTATTCACCATTACTATACATCCACTCGTCTATCCACTCACCTTTTCACCCACCGGCCCACCCATCCATCTACCCACCCAACCGCCCACCCACACATACCGTCACCCATTCATCTCCGTACCTACTATCCACCCATTCATAATCTGCCTATTCATCTTTTGTCTGCCCGTCCATCCATACGCTTCTCTGTCGATGCGTTCCTATCCATTCACCTACCCATTTATCCATTCGTCTACACATCCGTCCAATTACCAATCACCCCTGTACTATCCACCCATCTGTTTGTGCAACCAATCACCCATCCATCCAAACATTCAACTGACAACCTTGGCACTAAGTCACTCATCCACCCACCTATCCACCCACCCACTCAATATTCCTGGGTTCAGACTCGGCAAGATGATCCAAGTGGGTCTAACCCAGCCATCGCTGTGGGCTTCCGGGACTCAGGCTGGGATATTCTAAAGACCAACCCACACGCCGAGGCCCCGCGGGGATGCGAGGTGGAGACGGTGGGGGTGGCAGTAACTTAAATGCAATCTCTTCTGGGGTGTAAAGGTCACCCACGCACTCTTTCTTCTGGGCCCAGCGGTAAGAATTTTGGGACTGAAGAAAGTGGGAGAGACGGAGAGACAGAAACCTGGGGGGGGGGGGGGTGGGGAGAGAAGCGAGATGAAAAGAGACTTGGTGAGCAAACTAGAGAGGGGGAGAGAAAGAGGGAAATTTATAGAGAAATTGGAAGTGGGATAGAGACGACACGGAGGTGGGGGGGAATGAAGAGACAGCTTGGAATAGCCTATCTTACCTTTGGTGGGGGAAGGAGGGGGAGGGAGAGAGGTCGGAGGGCAGGGGAAAGCGGAGGCGAGAGGGTCCCAGTGTCACGGGCCCGGGGCCCCTCGCTGGGCACCGGGCTCCCCGGAAGTCCCCGCGGCCCCGGGGAAGCCACCCCCACGTGGGGAGGACGCGGCGCGGGGCGCTCAGGAACCGCGGTCGCGTGGGCTCGGCCGGCCGCGCCATCAATTAGGCGGTCGCCGGGCCTGGCGAGCGGCAGCGTCTGTGGAAATTACCTTTTAATTTCTTAATTACATTGTCCTCACCTGCAGCTCAACCCGCCTCCGAGAGGCGCGCGCAAAGCCGCTTCCCGGATCCCCTCCCCCGGTGCCATAAATTAGGACGCCGCCCGCGCGCCCTGGTGGTCCCCGCACCCCCCCCCCCCGCGCCCCCGCGCCCCGCCCACCGGCTGTTCTAACCTCGCGCGGCACCTTCGAGGAGCTTCGCCAGTGGCCTCCCCTCCCCCACCCCGCCTCATCTCCCCACCGGGGGAGACCCGAGACCCGTCCCAGGCGCAGGGTGGGGGCGCTGGGCAGCCAGACCTGAACTCTCCAAACCAGGCCTTTGCTGGATGCAGCGCCTCCGCCTCTCAGAACCTCGGTTTCCCCGTCGTCGTCGGTCACATGGAAAGGAAAGTAGCGCCCCTTTGTCTGGACTGGGAGGCTTAACGGAGGAAAGCGGAAGCGCTTAGTCCCGGAGTGCTCTCAGAATGTTAGCTATTGTTAATTGATGCGCTTAACGAGTGGGTTTTGAGTACCTACTATGGATGAAGCGTTCCAGAAGTCTCTGCAGACACAGAGGTGAACAAAACAGTGCGTGCCTATTGATGAGGGTGATGACGACGATGGTGATGGTGATGATGATGACGAGGGCGGTAGTGTGGTGGTCGTGGGTGATCCTCCCGGACGCACAGGGTTCCAGGATTTGTGAGACCCTGTGTGGGTGCTGCAGATAGGGGCAGGGTTAGGAGGTGATGTTGGGGAGGCGAATGGGGATTCAGGGTGGAGGAGCTGCCAGATCAGAGTGGGGGGTGACCCACAAGGCAGCCGCAAGGCTGCGTTGGAGGTGGTATGGAGGCCGTGTGACAGACAGGAGCGGGGCTTGCCTAAGCCCACCCGGTCACTGGTGGAGCTCAGGTCTGCCCTTTCAGTGCCTTTTCCTCCCATAGCTCAGCGGTTCTCCAAGCGTGGTGCTCCCTCATGGCCAGCAGCATCAGCATCCTTCCAGAGCTTGTTAGAAATGCAAATTCTTGGAGCCCCTCGGTGGCTCAGTCCGTGCGACTCTTGATTTCGGCTTGGCTGACCATCTCACGGCTGGTGAGTTCAAGCCCCCCATCAGGCTCTGTGCTGACAGTGTGGAGCCTGCTTGGGGTTCTCCTCTCTCTCTCTCTCTCTCTCTGCCCCTCCCCCCCTCAAAAATAAATAAATTAATTAAAAAAAATAAGAAATGCGAACTTTTGGGGCCTACCCTGAGATTACCAAATCGGAATCTCTGGGGTCAAGGCCAAGGAATCTGTATCTTCACAAGCTCCCCAGGAGATCTCTATGCTCACTAAAGTTGGAAAAGGACTGTCATCACCAAAGCAGAGTTTCTTGGTTCATTGCCATTTAAAGACCATCCTGATGTGGGGCACCTGGGTGGCTCAGTCAGCTAAGCGCCCGACTTGACTCGGGTCATGATCTCGCGGTTTGTGGGTTCGAGCCCCACGTCGGGCTCTGTGCTGACAGCTTGGAGCCTGGAGCTTGCTTCGGATCCTGTGTCTCCCTCTCTCTCTGCCCCTCCCCTGTTCATGCTCTGTCTCTCTCTGTCTCTCAATAATAAATAAAACGTTAAAAAAAAAATTTAAAGACGATCCTGATGAGAGGGGTTGAGATTGCACTTGGGCTGAGACCTCAGCATTTCGGGGTCTCAGGCCTTGGGCAATGCCTGGGTTAGAGCCCGTGCCTTAGTCCAGGCTCACCCTGGAATCGCCTGGATGACGTTGAGAAGGTCCAGGTGCCCAGGTCCCATCGTGGACGGATCCAATCTGAGTTTCTAGGAGAGGGTCCTGAGCATCAACCTTTTCAAAGCTGCCAGGTGAATCCGATGTTCAGGGAGGGAGGGCTGACAGCAACCACCAGTGGGAAGGAGACCAGAATGGGAAGTCAGTGGTCTTGTTTCCAAGGTCAGTCCTGCCACTAACTCACCAGTTGGGGCCCAACGTGTGACCCTCCCGGTGGCCATATTCTTTCGGTTTATCGTACGTCTGAGGCATTGGGGGAGGACATGAAGAAAAGGCAGATTCTACGTGGGACCTGAGTCCTGGCATTTGATCCCTATGTAGGGTTGAGGCAGGATCTGAGAATATGCATTTAAAAAAAAACAAAAGCCAGCACATAAACTTTACCATAAAGCCTCAAGCTTTGAGCAATCTTAAGACCTGTCAGAGCAGACAAGTTGACCTGCTTGACTCCTACATCCCAACCGTGGTTGTCTCCTTTGTGTCATATCCCCTCGCCTAACTTAGCCCTGGCCCCCTCTTTTGAGTGGTTTTTTTAAATTCCTCTATGTTTATGTTCCATGATAAATAATTTTTATTTTTATTGTTTTAAAGTTTATGTACTTTGAGAGAGAGAGAAAAAGTGTGAGTGGGGGAGGGGCAGAGAGAGAGGGAGAGAGCAAGAATCCCTCCGTGATAAATAATTTTTAAATATTAGCTGAGGAAGATAAGTTTTGGAGGGGTGGTTTGAGGGAGAAGGCACCCACTATATATAATTACTCTTACCCAAACTCTCAGAAATGCTGGAACTAAGCTTCTGTTTCAAGGAAGGGAGACACGTTAGAGGGGCACCTGGGTGGCTCAGTTAATTAAGTGTCTGACTTCGGCTCAGGTCATGATCTCCCGGCTTGTGGGTTCGAGCCCCGCGTCGGGCTCTGTGCTGACAGCTCAGAGCCTGGAGCCTGCTTCGGATTCTGTGTCTCCCTCTCTCTGCCCCTCCCCCACTCGCTCTCTGTGTCTCAAAAATAAACACTAAAAAAAGAAAAAAATAATAAAAAATAAAAAAGAAAGGGAGACTCATTAGAGACAAGAATGACTGTCCTGCCTTAAGCAACTGGCAAACCAGATAACATATAACAACAGTTTCAGATGTTGGGCACTAGGCAGCCCCGGTCTCTGCTCCCCAAGAGAAAAAAGCAACTGAGATAAGCCTGATGAGAGTTGCTGGGCCGCAGGGGAAGGCAAAGCCAAAGAATTGGGTGGTTTCTTCAGCCCAACTCAAGGCAGAGACCAGAGTTCGGGGATTCCAAGATGGCTGGCATCTGTGGGACAGAGTGCTTGAGAAGAGAGATCTTCATGGGGAGAAACTTCCAGAAACCTGCAGAGGCCTGCCCTCAGGTCTTTAGGTCTGTGCACGTGAGAGAGGAAACTTTTGGAGGCCAAGGGAAGGAAGAACCCTTAAATGGAGCAGAGAACAATGTCTGGGTCTTACGTAGGGGGAGAATCTCTTCCCTTTGGCCAGAGTGAAAAGACCCCACAATAGACAGGGCATGAGGTACGAGCCTCAGAAAGAGTATTGCCTTAAAAGTGGTGATAAATTATCCCTAGATTAAAGGCTGCTCCAGAATTGCCCTAAGGCAGCTCAAAGGTAAGATTCAAAAAGGCACCTCTGACTCCCAGTGACTTAGCTCTGTGCCGGGAACCCAACTCGGCACTATTTACAGGAATTTAGCAAAACCGAGCCGCCGACAAGGAAAAGTCACGACACACAGCACCTGGTCACGAAGGTCGCGTAAGGAAAAATTCAGAATGTGGGCAAGGCTTTGTGGACAAGGATGGACCCCAGAGAATTGTTTATTGGGGTGAAAAATCAGATGCAAACAAAATGTCCAATCGCAGGATAAAAATAAACGGTGCTATGTGCATAGGATCGATTGCTGTGTCCACTATTAAAATAATTTAAAAACGTCGAAACCCCCCGCCCCTTGATGAAATACCCACTGAAAGGCAAGGAGTGGGATGTGGGCTCCAAAGCCCAGATGCCTCGCTTGAACCCTGGCTTTGCCCACACACGGGCTGTGTGGTGTCTGGAAAGTCTTAGACTCCGTGAGCCTCAGTGTTCCCATCTATACAACACAGCTGCCGATAACACCTACTGTGGAGGATGTTGCCAGGATTCGATAAAATAACACTAGCAAAGTGCTTAACCTCTGGCATGTAACAAGCAGATGATAATTACTCGCTGAGGTCATGTGCTGTTCCCCAAGTCTATATACAGTGGGAGAGTTGGGTTTAAAATTCTATGTGAGAGACAAAACAGAAGTACGTGAACGTACTTGGTTATCTCGGGGTGATGGGAAGGCAATGCTGAGATTAGAAATGGAGAGTTTTGACCTGGAGCGGAAAGGACAAGAGATTAGATTGACAGACACGCGAGAGGTGTGGCAAAAGTCACGGGAGGAGCTGTGGGGGAGGGGGTGGGTCCAAGGGCAGCGGACCCTCCCTAGGCTGAGCTGGGGGAAGGCAACTCCTGGGGGAGCAAAGATGGGGAGAAAGGGGTGTGGGGACCATCCTTAGAGAATGATGAATTGACTCGTGGGGATGTGCATGATGGAGAGTGGCGGGAAAGAAAGACGGGAAATGTCTTAAATGTCTTAACAAACGTAGAGCCATGAAAGCCTCAGGTAGGAACTATTTTAAGTGTCGTTTTCTAAGGAGAAAACCCAGGCGCAGACATGTTGAAAGGCTTAATTAAAGTCCCCACAGCTGGTGGGTGGTGGGGCCAGGACTCGAACCCTGGGCAGCCTGGCTCCAGAGCCCCTAATCCCCGCCACAACATGACATTGTGAATATCTGGCTGGAAAATTTGGCTGTTTTCTCTTTGCAATCAGAAGCCATGGATACTTTCATAAAAGAACTTGAGAGTGACCAGCCAAAACGCAACCCTGGCTCCACGTGAGAATAATTGCTTTTTCCTTCCTTCCTACCTCAAAAGATATTCAGGAAGAAACCAAAGGTGATCTATTGGCCACGGGACAGGAGATTGGATTTAACCCATCAACTCTGACCCTCCGGGAGAAGCAAAGCATTTCCATTGTGAGCTGTAGATTTCTTGTCTTAATAATGATGGGGGGTATGGGGATGGGGGTATGTCGGGGGGCGGGGCGGGGAGAAGGGAGTGTTTCTAGTTGGGGGGCAAAAAAAAAAAACACCCAAAATTTTATCTCAGCCTCACGTGGAGATCGGCCGTGCCAAAATATCTGTATTATCGATAACAATAACGATGGCGATTATTATATTTTATTTTTCAATCGTGGTAATTATGGTACATTAAATCATTAGCATTCATTATTCCTACAATGTGTAATTAGGACAATGGTAGATAGATTGCTCTTGACTGTAATGAAGTTTTTATAATTGTCATTTATTGGCATCAAATTACCTTTCTTAAAACGAATCTGAACATCACACTCTTAATTCTGGGGAGGGGGTAGCCATTATTTTTAATTAATGTTTCTTGTTTGTGCCACGCAGGGGGAGCTGTCTGACCAATCCAGTTCTCCGCGTCTGCGAGGGAGTTAACCGAGAATATCAAAGGCATTCTTGAATCGGTCATCTATCACGAAACATTCTCCTCCTCCCGTCCCCCACCCTGCTCCCATCATCCCCCTCCTCCCGAGCAGCAGCGGCCACAGGGGAGAGAAAAAAACCCCCAACCATTTACCAACATGATTAGCAGAGGAGACAAGGGACGGTGACGCAGATTATTTAAGCCAATTTGTTGCCAAGTGTGAGAAGAATATGTTTTTTCTCCTTCAAAAATGGCTGAATAGCCAGCCTCTGTCTTCGAGGACGTGGGCGTCGGGGTGGGGGTGGGGGTGGGGGGCTTGGGGTTATGTGGTCTGCAGATCGTATTGTGGGTGGGGAGTCCTTCTCCCGCTTCCCCCTCGTCCGATAATTGGCCGAGGCGGCCTTTGCAAAAATACGAATCTACATCTTGTTTCTCGAAAGGCTGAGTGAGAAGTCTCAGGGCATTTGCTGTTGTGGTATGAAATCACCTGTATTTGACTGCTTTTGACCTGCAAAAATGGCGATTTAATGGCTCAGATGAATCTACCCACTGCAGTGGTAATCAATGAAATGACTCCTCCCCGAAGATGATGGTTGCAAGGGACAGCAAGGCCATTAGTTTTTAGGCGACTGGATGAGGAAGAAGGGTGTCTATAGGGGCGGGTGTGAGGAAAGAAGGGGGGCTACACAGACTGACCTTTGCAGGTGCCAACCAAGCATCGGCCAGGCCCCTTCCGTGCAGATGTGAAGTCACCTGCCCGAGGGGCCACCAAACGCCTGCACTTCCTTGGGCTCTTCCTACCAGACCCAAGACCGGCCTGATCTTTTGCCTCCCAAACTTGACCTTGGCTTCCTAGTAAAGGGACGTTAGCTTGGTGAACCTCAATCCTGTGCTCCCAGAATCAGATGTAGGAGGCGGACGTCTGCTTCATTCATACACGGAGACTTCTTCACGCTGGTGTGAAAGGGGAGACTTTTGCCTTGTTTTGGGAGCGATCTGGTCAGCCCCTTCTAAGCTGGGGCCCTGAGGAACACACGGTGGCTGGTGTCCTCCGTTGCCCGGGGAGCCTCGGGAAGGGGGATGGAATTCAGAGCACACACTTCCGTGCTGATGGAGGCCGGGGCAGGGCTTGGATCTGGGACCAGGACTTGAGGAATCCTGGAAAGGTGCTACAACCAGTACCTTGGGTCTGAATCAATTAGTGGGCAGGAGTCCTGATGAAGTTGGTGCTTTCTAAGGGATGCTGTGGGCCCTCTGGCCCCACCCCCGTCTGCTTCTGAGGATCTGGGAGGGACTTCGGATTCTCCAATAGCAAGGAGAGAGGTCAAACTGGACACCTCCCAACAGGCCAGGACAAGGAGCCCTTCTTGGGGGAAATCCTAGGGTTTCTGGGGATCTCCTGGGGTCATCCCAGCCGGCATTTCTCTTTCTTGTCTCTCGGGACAGGAACGCTGGTCCTGTTACGGTGGCTGGGATCTAGTCTCGCTCTGGGGCTGACCGGCTGGGAAAATTTGTCGAACGGATTACTAATAATCAGGTTCCGAAGTTGAAAGCAACGTCGCACAGAACTTGGCCCAGGAAACGCTCGAGAAGAGATGATTGCCTGCTTTCGTTCTGGAAACCGAGTTAATAGCCCTTGTTCCTAATAACGATGGGAGTGACCTGCCTTTTACCGAGCGCGCGCTACGTGCCAGGCTCTGTCTTAAATGCCAGAAATGCATCATCTCGCTCAATACTCTCGACAGCCCTGTGACGGAGAAGTTGAGGCAGCGGAAGGGTACGGGATGGGCTGAGGTCCCGGGGCTGGCAAGTGGCAGAGCTGTGCCACGACGTCACGTGGCATCTCACAGCTCCGCTAGGAGCGCCGCTCCCCGCCTGGGAACCATTTTTATTATTGCAGAGGTATCGGCAAGATTTCTCTGCCGCGGTTGTTAAGTAGTTCACTGCCCTCTCCGGTCCCTTCCAAGAAAAGAGTTTGATCAGAGGGGAGATGGGGCTAAGGAGGAAGGTGGCCGGAAGAAAGAAAAGGGCCCCCAAGAGTGCTGGGCACCCCAGGAGGGTGTACAGATGGGTCTGTAGCTTTCGGGAGCTCCCAGGCTAGTGTGTGTGTGTGTGTGTGTGTGTGTGTGTGTGTGTGTCGGGGGGGGGGTGGACAGGTGCACGAGTAACCACAAGACAGATGTAGCCGGAGGTAAGACGCCAACTGCATGGGAAATCAGGAACAGGAGCTATTTTCAGTTAGGGAGTAACGTTATGGAGGACTTCATGGAGGAGGGAGCCTCTGCGCCAGGCATGCCGAACTTGCAGGATTAGGGGAGTGTGCCAAAGAAGAGGGGCTTCCTTCTCCCCTCCCTCACCCCTTCTTTCTCCCCTCTGTCTCTCTCCCCTTCCCCCTTACCTCCTCCCTCACGCTCCCTTTCCCTTTCCCCTTCCTCTCCCCTCCGCCCCTCCCCATCTCCTTCTCTTCCCAATTCTTTTTTTCTTCTTCTTTCTCTTCCTTCTGTTTATCTTTCTCCTCCTTGCTCCTCTTCCCCGTCTTCTTCCTCCCTTTCTTCTCCCCTAAATTATTTCATGATACTTGACTCACTCGCCCCGCCCCATATCAGGGCACCGGCCAGAGACTCAGAGCCGGCCCTTTGATGTCAGACTCCACGCTTGGAGTTGGGACTATGGGGACAAATTCTGTCGTGGGTGAGGCAGCGCCTTGGTCGAGGAAGGCAAGCGCGTGACACCCACCCCCAGGAAGGGCACGGGAGCCGTGAGTCTGGCCAAGCGGATTTTGGATCAGACCCAGCCTTGTCCTGTATGACCTGTGTGACCTCCAGCAAGTGGCCGGGGGTCTCTGCAAATCTTCCCCCGTGAAAGGAGAGGAAACCGGGGTTCCCCGTTCGCAGGATGCTGTGAGGGTTAAGTGAAATAATCCGCGTAATGTATTTGGCATCGCTCCTGGCACATAGTAGATGCTAAAGAAAGTTCACGTCCCACCTCCTGTAATTAACAAATCTCTATATTTAAAACGGGGTCCGTGGCTTCCGCGCTGGAGCAAGTCATGCTGGGAATGTGCCCGCAGAAGGGAGGGGAGGCGGGAGAGCCGGCCTCGTTCCTGCAGGGGTGAAGGTGGGCATTGTCAATCTAATTTTGCGGCAAAAGCTGCAATTTGCCGGCCCTTTTAATTATTATTTTTTATTATGGATACAAATTAAAAATAAACTGTGTGTCTCAATCACAGCGGGGATTAAAATTGTTCCCTAATTGTTATCTTTGAATCAATCTAGCTTCCATTAGCTCCGCTTCCTGAGGTATAATTGAGGTAGGTGTGTGTGTGTGTGTGTGTGTGTGTGTGTGTGTGTGTCCTTGGTTTGTGGGGAGGGCACCTACCTCCGTTTCATGCGCCTGATTGTCTCTTCCAGACTCCTGTTTCATTTTTCCTTCCTGTTTATACAGAAGACCTTACAGGGCAGTAGAGTTGAGGGGCCTTGGATATCACTCCCTGTCCCCATCCTCTGATCCCCAAAACATGCATTTCAAAGCCCAGGGTGCTGTGTGTTCCACGGAGGTGTGTGCTTTGATTGACCTGGGGGTGGCCGCGGTGACCTGAAGTCAACACGGTGGGAATCCTGAGCGTGGGGATGACTGGTTGCGAACTCACAACGACAGAGGGCCTCGTGTGTCTTGTTCACTGCCGTCTCCTCAGAACCCGGAGCGGTGCCTGGCACCTGGTCAGTTCTCGTTAAATATTAATGGATTTGACCCAAGCACGTGCCTTGGAGGATGTGTACAAAGTGCCCAGTATACGAACACGAAGCGTGTTGGGTATCGAGGTCCTGATATTTTTATCACAGATACCCAAGCTCAGATGGCCCTTCCTGAGACTACGTTTCCTCCTTAAACTACATTTTAACACTCACAGTCACTGGTTTATCAAGTCTTTGCTACGTATGTATCGTTACTACTTCTGGCACTCTTCCTCTGCCTGTTTTACAGACAAGTGAACAGAGAGGCTCAGAGAGAGGAGTTCACCTGGCCCAGATCACACAGCTGTTAAGGGACGGGGCTGAGATTTGAACTCGCGTCTGCTAGATGCCTAAGGCTCGTGGCCTGTTTTGTTACTTTTCTTCTCTGCCTCGTGATCCGACTTATTTTTTTTCCCGAGTAAGCCAAAGTAAGGATTTGGGCCCCATTTTTCAGGTGAGGAAAATGAGACCGAGGGAGAGAGAAGTCTCATGACTTGCCTGGAGGTGACGAGGTGTTACCTGTCACATGCACGGGGCCGTCACGCTCCCGTGGAGGCAGACACAGAGACCAGAAAGGCGGCACAGCACCGTCAGGGAGAGGCTCAGCTGGGACTACAGAACGAGAGAGGGGTTAAGCACCAGGTTTGGGGGAAAGGGAGTGTTTTTTGAGCAAAATATTTGGTGCCCAGGGCCTACGGGATGTTCTGGAATGTGGCTGGGACCAAAAAAGCCAGACTCTGCCTTTAGGAGTTTATGATGGAGCGGGGGGAGACAGATTTAATAAAATATACACACAGGTATGTAATTATGGACTTTGATAAACGTAGGCGGGGAATATACAGAGGTGGTAAATTGGGAAACAGAATAGTGGTGAGGGCTGGGGTGTGTATGCACGTGTGTGTGTGTGTGTGTGTGTGTGTGTGTGTGTGTTCTGGAAGGCTTTGCCAGGTAACGTGGCGGCTGTGATGAGTAAAAGGAGTTCACTGGGTGACTCGAGGAGGACACAGAAAAGTGGGTGTGATGGGATTGAGAGAGCAGGGGCCGGATTCACGGGGCCTTGGGGCCAGGATGTGGTGGTGGGGGGGTCTGGGCGGGGGGGGGAGCCAACGAAAATCTGCAGGCCAGGGGATGGCTTGATTGCATTTGTGTTTGAGGGGTTGATCTGGCTGCCTTGTGGAAAAGAGAGTGAGGGTGGGAGGGCAGAGTGGAGGTGGTCGGACCAGAGAGGAAGCACCTGCAACCATCCAGGTGAGCAGTGATGGTCGCTTAGCCTGGGGGGGGGTGGGGTTCAGGGGAGGCCAGGAGAAGGTATAGAGGTAAACCCATTGGATGCTGGGTCGAGGGCAAAGGATTCAGGTTTGAATAAGTTTGAAGAGAGTAACTGCATTTATATGCA